CTCATGATAAAATTGATTCAAATTTCTTTTTTATTAAAAATATTTTTCGTATGGTGGACAAAATTGAATGCCGTATATGAATTTCGTAAAAATAATTCGCATTTCGGGGTGGTGACTTGACGTTTTCAGCTCGACGTTATAAGCGCGCTACGGATTAACGGATTACCAGGAAGCGCGCGAGAGGATGTAATTTTTCCAGTAATTATCGCTCTAGACTTTGAAACGAGCGGCGGATATTAATCACACGGTGTCCGCATCTCCATCACCGTGCTCGAGTGCACGGACAGCGGTGTTGTAAGTTCTCTTTGTGCTCGCGATTAGATGGGCGAGACCGTTCCTTTGCGTTGCCTCGTCCTTTCCGCGTGCGTGAGTGCGTGAGTGCGCGAGTGCGTGCGAGCGTCTGTTTCTTCTCTTCGGCGTATATAAATTTGGCGTGTCGCCACTTATCTTTTACAGCGGTCGCCTCTCCGTTATAGCGACTTCGTGCTTGCTTGCCTCTTCTGCCCCATCGTCGCCGTTTTGCTGCGCGAGTTTAAGTTCCCCGAAGCAAAATCGAGAATAGGCGTTATCTCTCAAGGAAAGAGAACATAAATCACATACGAACAAGTATGTATTCCGCGTACCAAGTATTCTCGCGCTTCCTCCATCCGATCTTGATTCGCGTTACCGTGATTCTATGTAATATATATGCAGTGATGGGTAAGAAACATTTAAAATGTATCTCGATACAGATACGTGTGAAAAAATATATCTATAATAGATACGGATACAGATGTACAAATTAAAATGTATACAGATAAAGATACTCAGATACTTAAAAAAAAATGCCTCAAGATATCGTCGCTCAAACTATTTCGCCATAGTACTAAAATTTGATCAATGCTTAATAATCACTCAACCGGTGTTGACGACGATATGTTGATAACTTGCAGCCTTGATCTTTTAAAAATTTAAAGAATTGGGCTAATGAAAAAATATGTGAAAATGTATCTGCAAATGTATCTGAAAAAGCAATTCAGATACTATGTTTTCTAAATGTATCTAGATACTACCCAACACTGTATATATGCGTGTACAAGATTTCTGGCACGTATAGTAGTTGAAGAAAAAAGAAAAAAATGTTTTTCATCGCCTTTGAAGAATTTGATCTCCCGCACTTCGAAGAATTTGACGATTCTCGCGGTAATGACCCAACCTGAAAATCTGGCTTGGATATCGATCGATGAGAACCGTACGCGAGAATTCATTTGTATAAATTCGTCGCGTGCCGTGAATCCCGCCGGCGTGATATAGCTTAGTTACACTTTACGGTGGCCGATTTACACGCGATATCACGCGAAACGATTTGTTCGAACCAGAGGTAGGCAGAGGCGCTCGCATGACTTTGCGCGATCGCCGCACCCATATTATCGGTGCCCTTTCGACGTCATTTTATTACCCCGAATTGATACGTCTATACGAGTAATTCGATGTGATTTAAGTAATCGAATCTTCGTATCATCGCGTCAGAGGTTGAAATCGATCGTCCAAATTATATACGCGAAACACGTACGTCCCTATATCCCTTTAACGATATTGTACAGACTTGTCTGCTTGACCTCGGTTATTGTGTGACGAAAGCTCTCTTGGGTTATCATTTATTTATCACCGCTTTCCCTTTAAGCGCAAAATCGATTACGAGCAGAACAACTCGCGTTCTCTTACACCGGACGCAGAAACTACAAATTTCTATTGCTCCTAATAATATCGCGTCGGTCGCGTCTTTGAATTACGATCTTAGTTCACTTAATTTACTTTTCATTGAATATCGGGCAAATCTTTCTTTTCACAGCTTCATTCTTAACATTTCACGTTAAATACCACCGAGACCATTTGCGTCTCTTTCTCTCTCTCTCTCTCTGGTCCAATTTTTCTCCCCGAAGAGCGAACAGGTGTGCCGGAAAGAAATATTCGCGGTCCTTACTTCGGCCATTACCTCCCCGCGATTTGGCAAAGATACGACCAAAGGAGGGAGATGGGGTGCTCTTTTACGTATATACATATATAGGTGGCGAAAAACCTTTCAAGGTTTGGCGAAACTGGGTCATCGCGCGCGCTGTTTCCACATCGTAGCAGCCGCAGGATACATCGAGTTCTGCAATGTGCAGCCTAGCGTGAAGAGACACGGGGAGATATAATCTGCCGAGCAGCTAGACGAGAGATAAGACTAGACGGCGAGTGACGAGTTCCAAAGGTTACGACTCTTATCCTCGCGCAGCTTTCTTCCGGTTCGCGTGCGATCGTCTAGGGGTGCATTTGAGAGATGCGAGATTTATATTCTTTTTTCACCGGTTCTTCAACCTTGATATTTAAATGCTCTAAATAGATAATAAAACGAAAAGTATAATATATAAATTCGGGTGGGAGAAATGCTCGATAAGAACCAGACGCAACAAACTTGATTTAAAATCTTTATTTAATTTGGGGGTGTATTTGAGAGATGCAATTTATATATTTTTTTTACCGGTTCTTCAACCTTGATATTTAAATGCTTTTAATAATAGAGCGAAAACTATAAAGAGTAGGAAAATGCTTGATAAGAACCAGACGCAACAAACTTGATTTAAAATCTTTATTTAATTTGGGGGTGTATTTGAGAGATGCAATTTATATATTTTTCACCGGTTCTTTAACCTTGATATTTAAATGCTCTAAATAGATAATAGAACGAAAAGTATAATATAACCAGACGCAACAAACTTGATTTAAAATCTTTATTTAATTTGGGGGTGTATTTGAGAGATGCGATTTATATATTTTTTTACCGGTTCTTCAACCTTGATATTTAAATGCTTTTAATAATAGAACGAAAACTATAAACTCGAGTGGGAAAATGCTTGATAAGAACCAGGCGCAACAAACTTGATTTAAAATTCTTTATTTAATTTGAACGTTCTTTCAATCCTTCCTTCCTTCTTTTCTTCCTTTCTGCAGAAAAATTTACGTATCTTGATTCACATCCTTATTTTACGTCTTTAATCAGATGGATTTTTATTAATCCTTTTCCCAGCAGAATTAATTTTTAATTAAGATTTTTTTCCTTTACGCGTTGTAATTCAGAAAGATGTAAGCTTTTACGAATATACGATAAAATGCTTGATAGTCGCGCGTGAAATATTTCATCGCTATGCGTGCTTACGTGCCTCCCTTTTTCTCTCGAAAAGCGGACGTAAGATAGCTAAGGTACACGCTAAAAGAGTACGTTGGGTCGTTTCGTGTGAAACGAGACTCGTAAAACCGCATTCTAGTCCGACATGTGACACGTGTTCTTTTATCTCAAATTTACGCGAATCAAATTTTCGTGACCTATTTGACGGAATGTTCGAAGGTCTCGAATTTACGAGTCCAAAGTAACGTCAAGTTATCGTATATTTTCCGATTTATTATTTCCTTTCCATTCGTATATATGGCGAGATATTCCTCTTTTTCTCAGATAATGTATGCAAAACGATACAATTTCATATTCGCGAATCTTGCCCGATCGAGAGGATTTATCTTTCCGATAATATAATTTCTTTAAACATCGACGAAAGAAATATCTGCTTTTTTGAGGTTCGCGAGACAGAATGCTGAGCTTACTGCAAAGTAGGTATAATACAATTTGTTTTCGTAAAGATGTTTACTTATATAAAATCTTAGAGGAGTACAGAGTTTACTCTTACAGAGTTTTCTCTCTCTCTTTCTATCTCAATAAAACAACCTCTATAAAAAAGTTTAGATTAAAGTATTAAGATACTTTGCATTACATTATTGCGATAAAATTTATAGTCAGAGATAGAAATTTTAGCACAAAATCGCTTTCTTTTTTTTTACATTATTATGTATCTACCTCCGCAGGTAAAAGTGGGATTTAAAAATTAGCATTTAAAATTTAGTAAGCATTATCCTCTTGAATAATACCTTGAATAAGATTGTTGCAGACTACATCGCTCGCTATAATCAAGATGAATTTTCTCTCCTTTATAATCTTGAAGAAAGCAGAATTTCGCGTTAATTTCTAAAATTCCATTATTTCTTTATTAGATAATAACACATTCTAAAAGATTCCTCATAATCCCAAATTGTATAATGTCTGATGCTGGCGTGCGAAATACGCCAACTTCTAATGCGAATTTGCTTTGTAATTGGACACGTTTGCATTGTCGTATAACTTTTGATTAATGTACTATCGCGATATTCGCGGGAGCATTTGCATTGAATTTGCATTTATGTTGTTCCGCATAATTTTCACGTTTCATGATGTATGAAACACTCACGTTTTTTTTAACTCGCGCAAAAAAATATATATTCAAAATTACAATGTATAAATATTTTTTCCCACGAAAATGGAAAATTTTTGACGAGAATATGATTATAAAAGTGATTTCCGAATGTGGTAACTTTTTAGATTTCAAACGAGGGAACATCATATCCTATTCTAGAATATATATTTAGCAATTGTTTCGGTTTTTCATTTGTACAATTACATGGAAAAAAATATTAGCTATTGCAGCTAAATTTTAGATATCCTTATATTACACCTGAAATTTGAATACTATGCATCAATTTTAGCTATTCTCTATATTAATTATAATATTTTTAAACTGTAGTTTAACAGGTAATTCCTTTTAGCCAAAATTTATAATTAAATTTCAGATTTTGGAAAATTTAGCTGTACATTGAAAAAACTTTGTTAACTTGATTAAACCTTTCAACTAAATTACTATTTTGTTATTTGAACGTATATTAATATTTGAGTTAAATATACGTTTTGCTAGATTTAATATGTTAATTTAATATTTTCAATATTTTAGTTTAATATTTTTATATTTTTAATTATAATAAAATAATATTTAATTGAAAGGTTTAATCAAGTTAACAAATTTTTTTAGTGCAGTAGCTAATATATTTTTTTTCACGATTTGCATATATTCCATCAATTTTTTTCGCACAATAATTATTTACGTTATTTTTACACTTACCAGCAACCCTCGCCTCTTTGCAAGCCTCGTACATATCCTGTTTGATTTCCGGGTTGTCGTCCGCGATAGTTTCGCCGACGGTCACGAATCTCTCGACCGCCAAATTTACTGCCTGGCCGACCCTGGCGACCGCTCGCAAACTCCGATCCGAGCATAGCGGCCGTTCTCTGTGCGAGATTAACGTGGAAATCTGAAAGCAGATTGCATTTTGATGAGCACAAACGTGAGGAGTTTCTCAAAAAAATTAATTATACCTAAAAATATTCAAAAAATGACGATTAAATACAATGATGGAAAAAAAAAAAAAACGAATATAGAGTGACAGTGAAAAAGTCGTGCGTCACATTCGCATCTAATCGATATCTTTCTGACAGATAAATGCGTAATGATAATTTTAGATATCTCGTGTTTGCAAAACATGTTTGCATTTATGTACAGCGGCTGGTGTCCATCATTAATAATTAATATCGCGCCTCTAGAGCCTAGGAGCTCTGATTTCTATTAAATAACTGACAGATGCAGTCACCTATTTCGCTTCTATTTGAATCTTGCCAACAATCGCGGTTCGTATTATACGCGCAAAATTGTATTACAGAATCGGGAATAGCTACTTGACCCGACGATGACGTGTCTTCCGAGCGTTCGCTAAGTTAGCGTAGTTACGTTACGTCACATTTTCCAGACAATCGCAGACGCACATTCGTGTGACGTTCCCCTTTTCAGAGACGTCCCGGTCCCGAAGACCGGAGGAGAACAAACGGACGGGCTATTGTCTCTTGAGAGACGAATGCATGCACGCACACATATACCGCTAAACCCGCACGCACGTACACGACATCCATTCATCTCGATTCGATCGTCTTATGCAAATGCAATGAAAGCGGTTTCTGTATGATGGGGTGGTTTCCTCGCGTGTTAATTACATGCGTGCGGTCGGGAGATATAAATAAACTGCACTGCGCGTTCTGAATAAAGCTATATATTTTACGCATGGTAAAAAAATATTAGCCACCGCAGTTAAATTTTAGTTATCTCCACATTACACCTGACATTTAGTTGCTTAAATTTTATAGTCGATGTAATATAGGGGTAATTAAAATTTAGCTGTGGTGGCTAATATTTTTTTTCGTGCGCGACATTATCTTACGTTTGTTTAAAGCTATTGCGATGTTGAAGCTTGTTTGCAATAATATCGATTTGGGAGGGCTAAACAACCGCCATATTTTCCTTCGTGATTATACGAGGAATTGTGGTAATACCGATGACGTAAGCGAAATATAGGGACGCGTCGATCACACGTGGATAGCAACGATTGTTTAAGGTTCAATTAAATATTTCGGTTTGTATATCGATCGTCTGGCATTAACCGCGTTGATTCCTGTCTCTTCCCAAAAGAGTTAATAATCGCATTTCGATATATGTATATCGCATTCTGCAACGGAAGAGAAATGGTGGCGATACGCTGGAACGGTGTGTTTTATTCAGGCACTGCGATATTATTTATCCGGATCCTGCGAATTTCCTTTCCCGACGGACGTTTGAAACGTTTTTATTTGCCCGCTCGAACAAATTGTGCACAATTCACACGAGCGTGCGAGGGAATTTCTGAAAAACATTGCTTTTTTTGGACGGATAACGCATACATCTCGTGACATTGATACGTTATGCACTTTACGATAATTGTTTGCGATTCGTTATTATTTGTAGATCGTTAAATGTGGAAAATATAAAAATGTCAACCACGTACTATATATCACTGTAATTAAACCATTTCAATATTTTCATATCTCTGGAGACAAATTCTATGATTTACGCGTGTTTGTTCAGATATCAGAGTCATTTCTAGTAAAAATATAAAGCTATAGATAGAAAAGAGACGAAACGTCTCTCACTTTGATTCCGCCATATTCTTCTTTTATATTTGTTGTTTTTTTCATCCGCGTCATATTATTTTTTAACAGATTCCCTGATGTTTATCGTTCACGAAAAACTATGATAACAGTGCTAGCGGAGAGCGAAATAACTCGCGAAAAGTACGATATTAGTTTTGTATAATTTCCGAACTTGCTGAAACTCCGTTTTTCACAATGAATTTTCAATGGTTTCCGATGCGCGAATAACCGGCGAATAATTGAAATAGCGATTCACTCTCGTAGAAAAATCAGTTGGCTTGCACGGGGGAAGTTTCGAAGGTCTATGAATATATGCATTCGTCGACACGATAGAGTATTTCGTTCCTCGTTTAAAGATCAAATTATTATGCTCAGTTCGATCGTATTTTTTTTTTCTCTTTCTTTCATTGCGCCGGAATTAACGATAATAATAAGCGGACGAAATTCGCGGCGGCGCGACGGAATATCGATTCCGACGTATTATCGACGATTTAATCGTTTTTACGCGCGAGACTCATCTCCCGGTTTATTCGTGGAATTTTCGATATTCATCGGTGAATATTTAGTTTGCGAGATATAACATCCATCAATTCCGGTGTGGGCATCGAGGCAGGTTTTCCGACGCATCAGCGATCTCGCCTGATATCGTAATGAGAACTCCGAGACTCTGTGACTTAGCGTTCCGTGACGGGGGCGGTTCGTGAAATTTATCGCTCTAATACGCGACGACCATACATGACATTATGACGTGCGAGAATGACTTATCCCGCGACCGCAGTCTCCTGCACGTAATCAGAACGTTATTAATACGTAATCGGTGTCTATATATGGAAAATTCGATCACCAACAATATCATCACTCACGTGTTACGAAAGAATGACGTTTATATCTTAATCGAAATGCTTATTAACATTGTCAGTTATGAAAGTGTTTGATTAAAATTATATAATGTATATACGTTCAAGTTGTACATATTTCACTCCGTCAATTAGGTATATCAAAATCATATAAATTATTCATAATTGCAATTTATATCGATGTATTAAATCATTTATATGCACCTAATTAAATCTAGTTAATCAATTATATTAAATATATTTATAAAATTATTTATACATTAGTATATATTTTTTGCTAAAAACTTTTCTCTTCTTTTTTCTAATATGTATATGTATATAAAATGGAAACAACGTTGTCTAATATTGTATTAATCAATTAGCAAGTATCCGAGCGAGAGTAAAAGAAATTGTGAAAATTGAGAAAAAGAGGAAGAGATATTTTCTATATTTTGAAGTTGTATCGAAAGATAAATCATTTTCATCGCTGCGTAAAAGGGCAATTTTCTGCATATATGTAGAATCCCATCTAACGAGTTCAATGATAAAATATTAAAGTTCATATTATCTCTCCTCGAAAAGCTTAGAAACGTACTTAAGTCCTATCTCTGCGATCGTTCATCGACTGACTGTTGTGTTGATATCTGAATAGCCTATTACCCATGTTTTGTCCCTTACCAACGCACAGTCTATTGAATGCGAAACAAACAAATAAGGAGAGTCATTTAAAGTCTCTTTTATACGGACTTACCTTTCTTTGTCGAAAGAACTGAGTTTTGTATCTCGTGAATGGAGATGAAAACAAAACATTTCAGTCGTTTCACACGAGAACAAACAAAAGGGAACATTACAATTATTTTACATTTTATGAAATATCCATATTTTGTCGCGATGTAAAATTTTGACGTCCAATAAGCTCGATGATAAAAAATTAAAACCAATATTATCTCTCTGTGATTCGAGAAGAGTATAGAAATTTACTTATAGTATTTTATTTCTTTCAATAAATAAATAATTTTACTTTCTTTTATTTTCGAAATATCTTTATCTACAACTAACTGCTAAAATTATATCTTACTACTTGTGTTTAGCTCCTTATCAATACTATATGTATTGAATATGAAAATAGAGGAGATCGAGACATTTAAATTCTCTTTATATCCGCGCTTTCCTCTTTTATCGAAAGAAATTTGATTCACGATCATTCAATAAATTCATTTGAGTAAATCCCACGTGTTCATTAACGTTGCAACGTGACACAGAACCGGAATTGTGTAATTATTCATAAATAGCTAACGTGTTATGCTCGACGGCGCGCTAATTTAAATGATCTAATTTAAATGAGTTAAATGCATATTTACAACATCGTTGGAGATATAACACACAATAGAATAATTTATACTCTTGAATTTTTCTCTCGAAAAATCCTGAAAATAACGCACGGCTATTCTTTTTATCGATTTTATTTGATCAAGATATGAAGATATATGATGTGTGTTTTATGAGAGACGCACAAAAGTGGATTTCTTCTAATTTTCAATTCTCTGTATCGACGATGCATCGATTTTTCAAACTGAATTTTCTTCACGAATTTTATTGAGATATATATATATATATATATATATATAAATTTATGTGGACGTGCTAATATTTCAAAAAAGTCTCGACCCATATTTTGTAATTTTACTTGATGCTCGATATTACCGAAATGAATATATGATCGATCTCTACTCTGTTTCATCTTTCATTGCCGCAAAGTAGGTACCAGAAACAAGTTTCGCGTATGCGAAACATGGTAACGAGAGAGCGATGAGTTGCCTCCTGCTGTGACTTGAAGTATCGTCTAGTTTAACATTGAGAAATCGGCGCCCTTGTCTAAGTCACGGAGAAATGCTTTACATATTCAGGCACGAGAGTGTTAATGAATGAAATTTTTCGAGGTCATACTTAATCTTTAAAAATAATGCTTCATCTTTTCTTCTTTTATTACTTCAAATCAATCAAATCAAATTTAATTTATTATTACCAAATAATGGAAGGAAAAAATGCATACGAAAGGATTGAGAGACGTGGAAATTTTTTCTTTTTTTCTTCGGGTGGGAAAATATTTGACAATATCTACGAGGAACATCCGATTTAAGCGCGCATAAAGCAAAGGAAGAGAAGCTCCTCACGGGTAAATTCAATTAAAGAGTTCAAAGAGAACGAGAATCGGGGAGTAAGATTCGACGGGTAAACTTGACCGATTTTAAGATTTAAGCGTAATTTTATGAATTCTCTCTTTAATTTTCTTTCGCGAAGTCTCTTGCGAAGCAAAGGAAGGTTAATGTCCGTGTTAATCAAGGATCTTGAGTCTCTCGTTATAACGATTGCTAGAATCGAAGCTTTGTTTCGTCTCAATCCTTTTTTCTCATTACGCTTTTCGGCCACTTTTTCTTTTTCTCTTCTTTCGAAAAAAGAGA